TCGTTTACTGTACTTCGATTTCAATCCTTCAATGGCGGATGCGTCACTCGACCTCAGAATTGTTTTCCGCTCATCGGTTGAAATTCGACCTGCTGGTTACGAAGCGCCTCGCTCTAGCAGCCGGCAATTTAGCTGCTCTTATGATACTGCCCATTATTCTGCACTTCCTGCTTACTGCTTCAAAATCTGCACTGCAGTTCATGTGGCTCATCTGGTTTCCGTACGACAGCAGCCTGGTCGTCGCTATTCTTCTCTACTGCTGGTATCAAAAGCTACTGCAGCAGCTCGTTGCGCGATTCGTTCATTACGTCAGAAGTTCGAAAGTATCTCCTGGAGGGTGCAGTCAAGATATGCGATCAGCTTCAAATGACCATACACATACCCGCGTCTGATACGAACAATAGTCTCGCTTTAATACAAGAGAAGAAGTAACTGCTGCAAATGTTTGCATTTTATTTTAACCGTCATAACTGTTGGTCACATTGTGCTTACGCTGCAACCGTGGAAACTACTGTCATAATATTTGAAAGACTTCTGAGAGTTTATGCGGAAAACGCTATTTGCTAATTACAAATCAAGAATTAATTAATTTAAAAACAAGTATTTATTACCTTTCGTATATGATAAATTAATTTCAGTTTTTCACTACCATCTCATTCTTCATTCCTTAATTCGCTACCCGTTACTTCTTTTGAGTCGCAGAGCAGCGATCTCTGAATGTTTCAACTAACGGCGTCGATCTTCTACCAATTAGACAAATTCCAATGCTTAGTTCCCCCTGACCTGCTAACTAATACCCTGCCTTGATCCTCGAATAGCAGACAGAAACACTTCATCATTATATATTTGTTCATGATCATTGTGATCATGGGCGATGCTGTCAATGTCTTTTGCATTTATGCACATACGTTATGTTATGCAGATCATCATTGTGAAATGGTCAGTCTCCCGCTCACTTGTTTTTTTGTCTCACTACTTTATTCGAGTAGATTGCACTGAGGAAAAAGAATTTTCTCATTTTGCGCTCGTTTATGCCATCCTCTGAAACGATGTTCTGGTAAGTCAACTAAATCGAGCCATTTTCTCGAAAAGTGATCTATCTGTCATTTTTACCTGCATGTCTCTCGCAGACAGCGATTGTTCATCGCTGATGTGCAGGCCCGACTTGTTCTCCATACCATTGCATTTTGCAGTCTCTATTTTACACCTCGTTTCGCTGTTTCGCATCTGCAATGGGAATATGGTCGAAAAAAAAATCATTAATGTCTTTCTTCCCATGGCCGTCTCAGTTGCAGCCACTGATACTTCAACTCTTTCATTACAGTCCACTTTTCGCTTCTGTACTACATCGTCGGCGATATAGCCCTGCTGAAAACACATACCAGATTCCCAAACAGAGAGTCCCCTGTGAAATTAAAGGTGCGTCAGTCAGCTTTCCTCTTGCACGGGATTTCCGCCTTTGGATCATGTCGCATGTTGATTATTTGGTCTGAACAAATGAAACTACTTATTTTATAGCTTCTCCGTCAACGGCTATTTGGGTCTTATTCACGCTATCTGATTTCGTTTTCCTAATATTCTACAGTAGCAGCGTTGTCCTCCATTATTCAACCTCGTTTTCTACGTTTCAGAGAGTTATTAATAGCCAAGCTGCTAAATATCAAAATCCAAGCTGAAAGAGTTGCTTATGTTTTTAAGACCCTTCCAATTGGAAGTATATGCCTTAAGTACAAATCAGAAGATAACTGACAGCCATTTTTCGTATTAAAAGATGTTTGATCATATTGTCTCTACTGTACAATGAAGATAACGGCTTGTGAAAGAAACGAGTAGAGAACTCAGGTGATGTTTGATGGACTGTGTCATAAAATGAAAGAAAATAATTCCTTTTGAACATGAACATACACCTTTTTGTGGAATGCATTTCAAACATGAGTAGATCGCATGACATGTTGGCTTTGAACTCCAAAAGTACCCAATCTGAATCGCTCAACGGGCAGTCTTTGTCTTAATCGCAAATTCTCTTGAGCAAGCAATTAATCTCACTTCATTCAGCGCAGCCAGCCGAGAAGCATATGGTTCAGTCTGCATCTTGCAGATAATAGGGATAGCATAACATTCTGTTTTGACCATGCCAGTATGAAGAGTACGATCAGTGTTTAAATGCGAAAGCCCCCTGTGGCTGCAATTCCTCGAGACCCACCGGTTAGCTGACTATTCAGCGTGATGATCAGCACAAGATGTAATTCAGATTTCGATTTAAGGTGATCCTTCAGGGGACTATCTGAGAGGCAAGAACAGCCGATGAGAGGTAAATATCGCTGTTATAGATTAGATGACTGACGAATAACTGGTGGATTTATCTTTCAGTACA